AATCGGTCGTTTGTCAGCTGAATGTATGCTATAAGTTTAATGTGTGTGTGTATGTGTGCGTGTGTGTGTGAGTGTGTATGCGTAATGTATTTGGATCCAAAACACAATCCACTATGTGTGCTCTTCGTCACCGTGGAACTAACTGGAGGACTAAGAAATTACGCCGGTTGTTAGGAAATATGAATCATCTCATTTACACGGCAACATCGTTTTCTTAACTTCCTGTCTTCTGTTTGGACAAATGAACCAGAATCTCTCAAGTTGCAGAATTTCATTGGAAATTGATAGTTGCCTCCAAGATAACATTAAACAGCCACTTACTATTAGATATTGGCAAACAAAATACTTACCATCTTTTGAAACAGAAATATCGGTTGATGTCGAGCATATTCTAAGAGAAATATACGAACACCAAAGGGGCCAGTCCATAATAGTTGTATTGTGGTGAAAATGGGATGTGGAAAATAAACGGAAAACATTGAAGAGTATCAAATTTTGCTATCTTTGTTTCTCTGTGAAGAAAATTAAAGAGTACTTTCAATAAACCTCTACAAACATAATAGGCATCAGTAAATTAGGTGGAAAATAGGAGGGAAGAGATCAAGATCTCAGCATGACCCTCAAGAAGAGAATGACAAATTGTTACATTGTTCCAATATTACTATATGGTGTCAAGGTTTGGACGTTGTCTGAAGCAGCAGAAAAAAGAATCCTTGAATTTTGAAATGTGTATCTATCGAAGAATCCTAAAAATTTCCTGGGTTGACTGGGTCACCATTGAAGAGGTCCTCAGGAAGGATGAACTGTCAACTAAACCTTATGTACACTATAAAACAACGAAAGCTAGAGTACTTGTACCATATGAGAAACCCTGTGATATAACGACTGTTACAACTGTTCCTACAAGGTAGACCAGAAGAAAATAAGGACCAAGACGTCCACAGAATCGTTCCGCACTGCAACCAATAAAGGAAGAATAGTCATGAATGTAGGCAACATCTGGAATGGATAAGGCCAAAGAAAACGAAGAAGAGGAAGGAGAACAGATGACTGAATATTCCTGATCTCAGGATAGAGCAGAGCTAAGTAAAAACCGTAGTAAATGCCAAAATTGCTTAGAAAAGACTCGGTTTGTAATCTGTTCTTGGATTACTTTCAATTCAGTTCAGTTCAGCAGTTACCAAAATTAGTGTTTTGCTTGGTCAAACGCTTTTTGTTTTGGTCAAATTTTTGTTAACATCCGGTAGACGAGTTGAAAGGTGGGAAGTGATATCTAATCTTGTGGAACAAAAGCAAGGAGGACTAGTCGCATCGGTAATAAACGATAAATGACTCAACAGATAATTTAATTTCGGTTTAATAGAGGTACATAATATATTAAGACAAATGGCAAGTTTATTGACGATGCTGAAGTGAGATGCGTTTGTATTGCACAATAAACTAGTGGCGGATGGTGTCTTGTAGTTGTTATCCCGTTGGCATTGCGGCTAAATTACGCCTGTCGTAGCAGGAAATGTGGCGATTCCAGGTGTCAAGTAGGAACTGTAATATGACTACACAACGATCCTATAAATGTACAACATCCATTCCTGTTACGAAAACATGATATTACACTTAATACGGAACAATCCGTTTCGCGCTCTAATATCCAACAATATCTACACGTGTTCGAAGCTAAAATGTTAATAACCGTTCGGATACTTTGTATAGTTGCTTTAGGAGCGCCAGAGGGCCAATTCGAACGGACTGGAGGAGTTGGGAGTGGAATGGGTGATATGTAGGAACGATACCTATCTGCTCAGATAGACAAACCCCCGTTTATGTGCCTTCATCTACCCCTTTCGAGTTTCTATTACTGTTTTCGTAGAAATCGTCTTCGTATGTGTGTGTATGTGGATGTGGCTGCCTACTTGATGTGTAAACGCAAACAAATTAAGCACGGTTGGAGGAACCAACCTTCGAAAATTAAAATTTAAACTCACAGACGTAGACAAACAGGGGCAAATTTAGTTATAAGTTATTGTTTCAAATAAATACTCTTTTTTTTTTAACCATTAGGGGAAGATCAATGTGGGTTTAGAAGAAATAGGGGAACGCTAGCTTAACAATTATGTCAGATAAGGTCATTTATATTAAGAAATGTTTAGTTAGAATCTTGTTCCAATGAAACATCAAAGGTCAAGAGATGATCCAACTGAAAACTTCCAGCGTTTGACCGTCCCGTAACCATTTTTGTTTGTTAATGTCATAAATAGGATCAGTACTTTCATTGTTGTCAGGAGGGTTAATTATTAAGTTATCTATCTAAAGTTTCTATCGGACACCCTGTATATAACTAAACAAAGACATCCAAAGGACAAGTACAGATGACATTTGTTCTTTTCAAAGATTTGATTGCGATTGTTCGCGTTTCATCGTAGAAACCAAATAATTAACCCTGATAATTTTCGTTGAAAAAAAGACACCCTTAATTAAAGAAACGTCTCGTTTTTTTTTCTTCTCCCCCTCGACTTGTACGAAGTTACCTTGGTTAGAATTACGCCCGGTTACCCTTTTTAATTTGACTTCCCCGTTCAATAAAATCTCAACCCTTTTCGCTATACCGCACCACTTCATCGAAGATTTATACGCACTTTTTTCCAGCAAGTTTTCTAAGTCCTTGCCGCCAACCCTTTGTTTAACTTCTAAATTACAGCCATAACTCAATTTGTATCCGATCGTATATTTTTTAATTATTCGTCTCAACACTCTCAAGATCTCTTAAGGGAAGTAATTTGATTAGGGCGACCAAGGGTATGAAATGTACACTGTTGGGTAATTGGTAGAAAAAAGAACACTAAAAAAATAACCGTCACAAATGGTTTATAGGAAGTCTTAATTCCGTTTACTGCCTTTCCACAAATATTAACCCCTTAGAATTTACCTTAGGGCGCTACTGTATATTGGTCTATCGGTAAATCCAACACAAATCTTGCTGTATTTAATTTATAATGTCAAGCGGTATTCATATTAGTTTAACAAAAATTGAAGAGGTATTAGGAAGAATAGGAGAACAGAGGACTCTATGGAAGTCAAGAAATGGTAGGACACCTTCTCAGGCATGAAGGTCTAGTCAGAGACATATTAGAAGCAGAAACGGAAGTTAGGAGATGTGGGATGTTCTAATAATTTTTTAGGGAAATGCGAAGATTAGCTTAGGAAAGGAAAGAGTAGATTTGCGTGTCCAACCAGTCTTAGGTTTGACGACCTTATGATGATGATACCGAAAATAATTATGTAAAAATAACCATTATTTGATAAAATTTAGGGTCCTCCACAAATTATCCTCTTCAAAATTGAATTCAATTCTTTTATTAGTACAGAAATTTTAAAATGGGGTGGATGCACGGTGGCAAAAGTAGGCAGTTTTAGGTATAACGATTTCAGCCCTCTTTCTTCAGTATTCCTATCAGGGGCGTAGATTAAATATTTAAAAATAGGGATCAGTGAGCAAGTAATAGACAGACAAACAGAAGAACTAATTGTTGATGTTGGTGACAGTGATAGAGATTCCCATGATGACAGTGAATGTGAAAACTAACTTTAAAACAAAAGCAATAGGTTTATTTTTTCTTTTTGGTAAGTTATGTTTCTACATTATTTTCTAGTACGCTACTGTCCTATCTGTATTATACTATAATTTACGCCTACTGAAAGCTTATTTGTGTATCGGTTCCAAGTGACTTACCCAAATAGGTCATAAATGGGCATTAAATATATGTGTAGATTTTTATTATAAGACCATAATAGCAAAACCATAATCAAGTCTAATTTTTATCTTGGTTTTGGTTATACCTAATGGTGTAGTATAGTATAGTACACAAACATTTAGGTTTTGAAAAACTGTATGAAACAGTTACAAAAATGATTCTACCCGTTCTGAGTAATGGCTAATGATCTATCGCTTACCGTAAAGGAAACCGATGATTAAAAAAATCACGTTCAATGGATATTGACCAGAAATGACCGATTTGTTTCACAGCAGGTCTTTTTAAAGTCGGTAGGTGGCGCCGATGAGTGTATGTCATTTCACTGTTGGTTATAAAATTAAAATCGATCGCATTGATGTCGGCCCGTTTCATCTGCTTCACGAAATTAGTAGCTACGTGTACTCTTCGATACAAAAAAAAATGAAGACCTCATCGAGCGGTCGGGTTTAAGAGGCGATATTACAGAACCAAAATCGATTTGGACGAGAGAATAAGTGTGATCGCGGGGGCACCTGACCAAAGAAGAGACAGTCATGGTCATATTGGTTCAGATTGATTCCAATTATACGAACTACCACCTTCGGCGTCAATAATGGTGATGAACACGTTTGATATTGAGTGCAACCGGTTTTTTTTACGTGTCTTCTTTTTTATAATTATTTATACGAAGTATATCATTATGAAGTGTATATGGATGAACTAGGTATAAGAAGTTAGAGATTTTTAGAGGTACTCATGTAGGCCCAAAATGTAACCGAAAAACACAAAATTTTGAATGAAATATGAACAACGTCCCTAGCCAAAAATTTTCAGTCTCTCTCCAGTCTTTCTGAGTCTTTCGGCGTCTCTGAGAGCGTCTCTCAGTTATTGCCTAGGTGTTTTTATGGATCTCTCACAGTCTCTGTATGAGAGACTCGAACGATAAAATTGAGATTCGAGTCTCTCGTTCAGAGACTGGATACGAAATGAGGATCTCTCTATGAGCGACTCTAGTCTCTCGTTCAGAGATTCGAGTCTCTCGTTCAGAGACTGGATACGAAATGAGGATCTCTCTATGAGCGACTCGAGTCTCTCGTTCAGAGACGCTAAATAGTCTCTCGACAGTATCTCTCAGCGCCACCAGAGAGACTCGATGAGAGACGGAGACTCGAGTCTCGCTTTCAGAGACTCTGATAGACTGAACATTTTTATCTCGGGGTTTGATGTCTTGTTTGGATCATGTGCTAATTTCATTTATTTTATTTGTTTCAGTTATCAGTAGTTGATGTAGTACTGATCATTGCTGCATTAGACGTTGTCTTCGGTAAGTTATAGTCATTAATTAATTAATAATCCATAAACGTACTAATCTGTACAAAAAACTAACTACACACTGTCGGATATTAATGCTTTTTTAAACGCATTCATATGTTCTTACAAATATTGAATTAGATTAGATTAAGTTTTAGATTCTGAAAATATTACGAAATTTTCCTTTCATCAACTTTTCTAATGAGTAATAGCAGTGTGATAAATTTGTCCATTTGTTTGATTTCTACATTTTTAACAATTAGGCAATCTATCTGTGCATATGTATATCTAATTCGATTCCTTTTTCATCATTTTTACACATTATACATTGATTTAATTCGAAAGCGTGCTTAAAGAGCACCTCCTAGAACAAAACGTCATTTATCCTCCATAATACACTTGTTACAAAGCTGCAGATGAAAGTTTATAGAATATTATATATATATTTGACGCACATTCTGAAAGCTCATCGAACCTCTGAAAACAGTAATTGAAAGTACGGGACACACAAGAAGCTCTGCGGGGTAACAGGTCAAATAGAGTTTCAGTGAGAATAAACAGCATTCCAATATACAGGGTGTAACTGAAATAAGTGCCGAGCTTGTAGGAAAATTTAGTAAATGTTTGTATGTCCGAAAGTTCACCTTTTTCGGGAAAAACGTAGTTGAAAGTACAGGTAAATTCAATTCCGACCCTGATAAAGAGAATCGGCCTGCAACGCTGCACTCAATAAGCTGTTGATTACCAACATCAGTATAGTATTTACTTTGTATTTTTTTTTGCTCATGTAGGTACTGTTTATTTGTTAAGTGTAATTTAAGATGTTTGTTTGTTTGTTTTTCGGGAAAAACGTAGTTGAAAGCACAGGTAAATTCAATTCCAACCCTTTTAAAGAGAATCGGCCCGCAACGCTGCACTCAATCGATTATTGGAGTTTCAGTGAAAATAAACAGCATTTCAATATACAGGGTATAACTGAAATAAGTGCCGAGCTTGTAGGAAAATTTAGCAAATGTTTACATGTCCGAAAGTACACCGTTTTCGGAAAAAACGTAGTTGAAAGTACAGGTAAATTCAATTCCAACCCAGATAAAGAGAATCGGCCTGCAACGCTGCACTCAATAAGCTGTTGATTACCAACATCAGTATAGTATTTACTTTGTATTTTTTTTTTGCTCATGTAGGTACTGTTTATTTGTTAGATTACATTAAGTGTAATTCAGGATGTTTGTTTTCACAGCCAACCTGTAGCAGCCGTTTATTCTTTTAAAAAGCTCCCTGAAATTTCGCGTGAACTAGTTTGGGGGATTGTATTTTTCTAAAACCAAAGATTTCGTCCCTACAGAGGCGAAATGGTTCAAACCGCTAAATAACTATCATATCACATTATTGTAGTAACAACTGTTCTACAGTGATATAGGTACTGACCTACACTAATGATTGATGCTGTATTGCTGGATATTTAACTGCAAATCGATTACCTCATACAAGGTTTAACATAAACACCTTGAATCACACTTAATCTAATCTAACAAATAAACAGTACCTACATGGGCAAAAAAAAAATACAAAGTAAATACTATACTGATGTTGGTAATTATCAGCCGATTGAATGCGGCGTTGCGTGTCATATTTCTTTACCAGGGCCGGAATTGAATTTATTTGCACTTTCAACTACGTTTTTCTCCAAAACAGTAAACGTTTAATTTAATTTTTTTGTTTTATAGTGCTCTATCACCTCTTGCAAGCTCGATACTTACTTGTGCCCTAAGGTTTTTAGACAGATACCGTTAAAAAATCAGGAAGAAACAGAAACAAAAGAATTTAATTATTTTTTGTGTGTGCATATGCGGATGGGACGATTTGTAGTTTACGAGACTATCCCAATTGTTCTCCCTTTCCGATTCGTTTGGGTAGGTGCAGCACTTATTGGGCGTGAGGGGAGAAAAAAATTAAAGTTCAGGATGAAAATCAGTTCAACAGGAGCACAATTTTCTCGCTATGAAACTTTAAAAAGAATGCGCCTTACAAGTGCGGACAAAGGCAGCGTGGCGTGAAGAAAGCTCGAGAGTTTTTTTAACAGCTGCCCCTTTTGGCTTTTAAAAGTCGTGTTAACGAGAGAATAAATGAATAACCATTTTAAAGGAAAGTTACAGTCGGCTAAAAGGCAAAAATTTCACTTAAAGAGTACTTACTTCTTTAATTTTAAAATTTCTTTTTTCGGCTCATTCGAGGGCCCTTTTGTGGACTATCACTAAAACATATTTCAAAAGGATCGTGCAGCTAATCAATCAAAACAATATTATAGAGATCACTGTTAGTAAAAATTTATATTTTTATATTAATACAAAAACGTATGAAGTAGTTCAGTTTTTCAATATTGTAAATTTTCTGAAAATATTCTTTTTGTGTCTGCAGCATTATATGGTGACGTTATCCGTCTAAAATGATGCATTTATTATTATAATCTAGGGAGCGGATGTTGTTCGCATTTATAAGGGCCGTACTTAGGCCGACGATCAAAATTAAAGCAATGAAAACCGCGTGCTACTCATTGTATAGTAGTAATAGACGCGGCGCCTATTATACGAGGGTGGATTGATAAGTTTCCGGCCTGACCAAGAAAAACAAGGTTTTTAAAAATTTTTTTTTTTTATTTCTCAACATAATCTCCTCCAAGGCTGATACATTTCTCATAGCGGTGTTCCAGTCTATTAATGCCATCTCTATAGACTGATTCGTCAAGCTCCTCA